AGTGTACAACCCAATTCAAATGGCCCAAGAAAGGAAATAGCCCAAGAGAAGAAGCCCATTTAGAGAGATCATGGTAAAAGCCCAACCAGAAATATCATTAAACATGACAAAAGCCCAAAAACAAAGGAGCGTTGTCGTCCAAGCCTGCAGAACGCCCAGATGTTGAGCGAATGAAGTATTTTATAATCACCCAGAGCGGAAGATCAATTGTCGCCCAAAAATGCCAAGTCGCCCAGAGTCCCAACGATGACTAAAGCTTGTTATCCAAAGTCATGATTTAAGGCAGTTTGAGCACATCATAATTACGCCCCATGATTTGAGAGAGTTGGTGGCAAACAGTTATGAAGAGGACATGGTGATAGGAATTACACACGTTTGTTATTGGCCACCCGACCATTATGAAAGAAATGGGTAGTTACAAACAATTTCTAAACGATTAAAACTGCCCAAGCCGTATAAAAGAAAGAGGAAGACAACGAAGACAGTCCCGACAAAATTCACTCTCAAACAGAGAACATGTAATTTACTTTCCTTAGGCTAATCTTAATTACTTCAATTCCCTTGTACTTGTGTGCTTGCGCCCCTTGGAGGCATCTTGTTCGTATCCAAACTGTAATCTCATATTCAATAAACACCCCTTTTTGGGACTTTGTTCCAAGAGGTTTGTCCCTTACACAATCGTCTGATCCCTTTTAATTGTTAGCGAGTAACCACGCGAAACAATTTGGCACGCCTGGTGGGACACTTGGTGTTTGAAGATGCAAAAGGAAAACATTATGCCTCATAAAAGTTCTGATAAAGCACCAACAAGGCACGGAGNTAGCGAGTAAACCCGCGCGAAACACCGACCATCAAGACGTGTACGTATGTCCGGAATGTCCTAACACTCCAGTACCCTGCGCTGCTTTTTTTCTGTTTCCGTTCACCAATGTTTCAATCAAAAATTGAGAATGTAGCTTGATTGTCGAACTAAATACATAACTCGAGGAAGTTCTATCATTTATGATATAATTCATATAGGGAAGGGCATTTTAGAAAACAGACCCATCATCAAGACTAACTTTGACCTGTTGCAACTAAATTAATGAATGCCAAGAGAAAAAAATAAGGTCACTTGAAAATTTTGAAAATGGATAATAGCTTTTTTTAAATTTTGAACTTTCCATCATCCCTTAAAGAAAAGCCTACGAAGATTTGTGAAATTTTAGGTTTAAAAGCGGAGAACGTTACAAAAATATAATTATATAGTGGAAATTACACAAAATCATAATTTTAAAGTTTTAATTTCAAATTTCAGATATAAACTTTATTTATACAAAAATCATATATTAATTCATATATTTCATACATCTTCTCTCTCTCTAAATCATAATTACCCAAACCTAAAACCCTAATTTTATTCCTCTTCTTCCCCTCCTCTCTCTCTTCCCCGCCTACTTTCTCATCTCTCTCTCTCCCTACTTCCTCGCACAGCCGTCGTCGGAGACACTGTGGAGCTCGTCGCTGTTGTGATCGCTGGCCGACACTGCACTCGGCTAATGCCAACGACTCATCATGGTGCAGCGGCAATGGCCTTCCTTCGTGCGTGGCAGTTCTTCTTCTTTTTTTATTATTTTTTATGTGATGGTTAGTTTGGGTGCGATGGTGGTGTGCGATGCTTAGGTAATGTGCTATGTCCAGTGGTGGAGCTGTCGCAGTGGTTGGGTGCGATGTGGTTAGCGTGGTGTTGTGTGCAGTGGTGGCGATGGTGCCTGGTGGCATGTGCGGTGGTGTTGCTGGTATGATGTGGTGATGGTGGTGTTGCAAAATGATGGTGGTAGCTGGTGGTAGCGATGGCAGATGTGGTTGTGATGATTTTTGTTGGGAGTGTATTGGATCGAGTGGTGGTGTTGTTGTGGTAGTGACGGCGGTTGGATAACGTCTGTAACCAATTATTTGGCTGATTTGTGACCAAATATTAGTCGTGGATCGGGAGGTGTTTTGGTGTATATGAGCAATTATTTGGTTCATTGTGACTAAAATTCGATAATTTGTGACAAAGAAACAATATGTGACCTAAACAATAGTTAATATGTGGCCGATAATTTGATAATTTGTGACTGTCTAATAGTGACTTATAATACTTGTGAGTTGTGACCGATAAAAGAATTATGATGTATAAATATTTTATTTGTGATCGATGAGTAAATTGTGACTTATAAAATTTTCAAATTGTGACCGTAAAATAATTTGTGAGATATAAAATTTATGATTTGTGACCAATGAATAATATTTGACTTATTAATTTGATAGATTTGTGATCGATAAATAAATTGTAATGTATAAACTTTTGTTTTGTGACTGTAAAATAATTTGTAACATATAAAAATTATGATTTGTGATCAATTAATAATATGTGACAAATTATATGGAATTTGTGACCAAATTATAAGGAATTGTGACCTTAATATATTTAATTAATAAAATATATGTTTAATTAATTTATTTATAAATAAAATTTTAAAAAAAAAGTCTGAGATTTAAAATTTTAAACTTTGATCTCTTAAATTTGAAATTTGTGAAACTTAGTCCCTAAGCAATTATATTTGTAAAGAAGCCAATATTTTCAACTCTTTGCAACGATCTAAGGGAAACGGCCCAAAGAGAGTTCAAGCAACATGTATCTTTAGAGAACTACTCAACA